AGTGAAATGAACAGCTGGAGATCTGAAGGGAAATGAACAGCTGGAGATCTGAAGTGAAATGAACAGGAGTATGAAGATCTGAACTGAAGTGCACAAGAGCATACCTTCCCCTTTACTCTGCCTCTTATTATAATGTGCAAGTGGGCCGTTAAGGCACACGGGGATGTGGGCAGCTGCCGCTCAACCACCATCAACGTGGGCAGCCTTGTACGTGCGAGGCAAAGTGAAAGAGGAGCTGTTGCCCCAAAGAAACCCTAGCTAAACACGGTTCAAAATGGTTCTATTATGATTCGTGCTGCCTGTTTGGGCGGACTCAGTCCGGTTCTACGCATCTGGTTGGAATAGGGGTTGTTGTGGGGGAAGCTTATAACACACACACACACACACAAACACACACACACACACAATCAGTTTTATGTCTGTCAGTCTTTTGTGTGTTGTCTTTCCTTCCCCCCGATTTTTTCTAAGTATTTTTTTGTGTGTGCCCAACTGAGCACCCTTAAGTAGTGCCAAACAGTCGGTGGTTCCTCGTTTGGAGTGCCTACTGCACTCTTATGGGGGGCGCTCGGTTCGGGATGTCTGTGTTGCCTGTCGGTGATGACGGATGTTCGTCGGAGTGACTCCCTGGCTCAGTGGGTGGTGGGAACCAACAGTCTGTGGGGTTCAATCGTGACGTGAGTAGGTCATGTGCTGCTTTGCTCCATGTTGGATGTGTGGACGTCCTCGTCTGCGCTCTGCCGCTGCCCTGCTGCCTGTCCCGCTTGCTTCGCATGTGGTTCTTTGCAGGTTGATGTGTTTTCGTTGTGCAGTTTGGCCGTGTTGTTGGTGTTGCCTTGTGCTTTGCTGCTTCGCTGCCGTGCTGCTCATCCGCAGGCCGTGCCTTCCGTGTTTGCCGCTTGTGTGCCGTGTAGGTTGGTTGCCTTGTTGGTGGTGCCTTGTGCTCCGCTCCACGGTTGCCGACCTGCTGGTCCGCTCGCCTTGTCGTCCCTTGCAGTGTTGTTGCCTTGCTTGTGTTGTCTTGTGCTTCGCTTCAAGGTTTCCGCACTGCATCCTGCGAGCCATGTCGTTCCTTGCAGTCATTTTTGGCGTTGTGCAGCCGTGTTGCCTCTACTGTGTTGCCCGGTGCTTCACAGGGTTGCTGCCCGCTGCTATGTTCCTCTTGGGGACAGTCTGCCTTCAACAAGGGTCAAAGGGTTCATGACCCAAACCATCNGCCCGGTGCTTCACAGGGTTGCTGCCCGCTGCTATGTTCCTCTTGGGGACAGTCTGCCTTCAACAAGGGTCAAAGGGTTCATGACCCAAACCATCAAATACGGGGATTTCGCAAATTGTCAGGGTTCGGCCTCCTGATGAGTCGGTGCAACTCCGACGAAACAATCTTTCATCATCTTTTTATTTTTTTCAGTCTTTGTTCTGTTTATACTTGTTTTTTTCGGGTGTTGTGTTTGTATTGTCGTTGTTTGTCTTGTTGTTGTTTCCCTCGCTGCCTTACGCTGTTTGCTTGCCCATCTGTCTACCCCATGCCTTTCACCCAGTGTGCTTTGTTGTGTTGTGTTGTTTGCCTTGCTGTTGTTTCCCTCGCTGCCTTTCGCTGTTTGTTGGACAAAGGAGTGTACTTGGTGCAACCCCTGGGTAATTAGTTTCGTACATCCGAAATAACCATTTTCAAGGGGCTGCATTATCTGAGAAGGCGTTCTGTATTGTATGGTTTGATGCGCTGTTCTGGCGTGGTGGCTTCCTGTTCTTGCAAAACACACACACACACATACAATCAGTTGTATGTTTGTCTGTTTTCCTGTTGTTGTCTGTCCTCCCCCTAATCTTTTCTAAGTGTTTTTGCTTGCCCAAACTGAGCACCCTTAAGTAGTGCCAAACAGTCGGTGGTTCCTCGTTTGGAGTGCCTACTGCACTCTTATGGGGGCCGCTCAGTTTGTGATGTCTGTGTTGCCTGTAGGTGATGATGGATGCTCGTCGGAGTGACTCCCTGGCTCAGTGGGTGGTGGGAACCAACAGTCTGCAGGGTTCAATCGTGATGTGCGTAGGTCATGCGCTGCTTTGCTCCGTGTTGGATGTGTGGACTGCCTAGTCTGCGCACCACCGCCGCCTTGCTGCCTGTCCCCCTTGCTTTGCATGTTGTTCTCTGCAAGTTGATGTGTTCGCTGTGTGGTGTGGCTGTGTTGTTGGTGTTGCCTTACACTTCGCTGCTCCGCTGCCTTGCTGCCCATCCGCTGGCCGTGCCTTCCGAGTTTCCGCGCTGCGTGCCATGTCTTTCCTTGCAGTCGTTTTTGGCGTTGTGCAGCCGTGTTGTCTCTACTGTGCTGCCTGGTGCTCCACAGGGTCGCCGCCCGCTGCTATGTTTCGCTTGGGGACAGTCTGCTTTTCAACAAGGGTCAAAGGGTTCATGACCCAAACCATCTAATACGGAGATTCCCGCAGATTGTCGAGGGTTCAGCCTCCTGATGAGTCGGTGCAACTCCGACGAAACAATCTTTCATCATCAGTTTTTATTTTATTTTTTTCAGGCTCTGAAACTTTTATAGACTTTACTTTTTTCTGATTTGCCTGCCTTTTGTGCTTGTTGTTGTCTGCCGTCCTATATCCCTTGTGCCTGTTGCTGGTGTGTTTGTCTTCCCTTCCTCCTCCCCCATGCCCTCCAGCCTGTGTTGTCTTGTTGTTTGTGCCCTGCGTGTTTCGTTGTTCTTCCTTCCTTGCCTTTGGACTCAACTCCACTCAGATGCGTACTCTCCTCCTGAAGTATTGCGATGGTATGGTGCATGGTTTTTACTGTGCAGAAGTGTCCTAATATGTGTTCACACACATCATCACACACACACACACACACACACACACACACACACACACACACACACACACACACACACACACGTGGGGTACATATATCTGTGTTAGTGTGGCGCTTGTGCGGCAGACGGGTGTGTGGGCACTTCCCACTCAACCACACAAACGGGGGGAACCTTGCATTTTCTATGACATTGCCCGTTTATACTTCTTTTGTTTTATGGATGGTTTGTGATGGCTTGTAGGTAGAATGAGAGAGAGAGTTTGGG